TTAGTTAAAATGACTAATATGCATTCATACATGGTTATCAAGTTTTAATTCGAATTACTAAAGTTCTATCATTAAATAATACTTGATTATCATATTATAATGCTTGACTGACTGATGTACTCTCAGAGCGTACTCTCAGATATTTAAAAAACTGTGCCATTTTACAATTACATATATATATATATATATATTAAAGTCTGGGGAGTAAACAAAAAAATTTACTAGCCAATGGCGATTCAATTGCCAAGGTGTCCATAGAGGGTTGATCAATGTCTTTACTTTCACTTTTGATCAATTTAGTGCAGCCTTGGTGAATAAAAGTATTAATTTATTTTAATTAATAACAGGCTAATACTGACCCCGAACTTTTGAATTGTAGTGTATTCATAATTTAATGCATAGTAGAGGACTGACTCAATATTAACTCAAATTCCTCAAAAATCAGCAGGAGCAAAAACAAAACCAGTTAGTCGACCAAAAAGGTCAGTACTGATTGGTCACAGTCCCCCGTGAAGGAACAAAGTCGCAAGTTAGCCATTCACTTCCTGTTTTGTCTATCTGGCTTTTGAGTCGGTAAATGATGGTATCGCTACTGAAATATCCTGTAGTGCTGAAACAGAGAGAGCTGTGCTGGTTTTCTTATCAGAGCTGGTCCATTTATCCAGCTGCTAGCTTTTTGTTCTCCTATTCCAGAGGAAACTTACATAAGCGTTTATGAAAGCCAGTAAAAAAAGGGCAGCAGCAATCTCCGACAAGGGGTTGAGAAACCTACTATTACCATCTATAAACATTTCAACCATAATGAAATCCAAACTTACATGTTTGGTTAGAAAATATTATCAGCCTGTTGTTTGTTTTTGAACAACTGAAACAAACATAGTAATGCACTTGCAATAGCATGGGGCTACGTTTATGCAAATATGAATAATTCTGTTCTCTCAATGTCCATTTCGGAAGTATTAAGACCATGTAATGAAGTCAACTTGTAACGTTCATGCAATACACTCAAATGATGAAGTTACGCAACTATTCACAAGTACTGTTTAGACGAAGCCAACCGTAACCTAGATAACCCTAACCTAGATGCTCAAAAAAGACAATCGAGATGATTTACAGATCAGATAATAAACATTTTCTTCCTGTCCAATTCACGTCAAAGCTGTAATAAAATGTAGAGCTTCATGTTTCTGGAACAGTTGCCCCATAGACTTGCATTGTGCTTTTTTTCACCATCTGTTTTTTTTCTGATTTTACAAACTGAGGGACAAGTCGAAATAATTTTCTGTGGCAATCAACAGCAAGTCAGATGCAAAGTTCCGCAAGATATTTGTCCAAGACTTCAATGCAGGCAATTTTGATGGCTGCTAATACGTGATTTATTATTAGAAATGTAAATTCCATTTAAATTAGCCAAGAGATGAATAAAAAAGGGAGAGTAATGAGATCCACTTTAGCAGGTACAAACGCTTGGTGATGTTCCTGTTTCTGGCTCAGCGAGGGTCCAGGATCAATCTCCGCTCTGTCTAAACACTTCAAGCTCTCCGCAGACCTGCCGGAGCCAGCCGAGACATTTATATGACATTTATGGAATGTTTAGAACACGTTTATAAAGCACTGCTATGGGGTTTTGGCTCCGGACAGCACAGACGGGAAGTCTAATATCATATGAGCCTCTTCCTCCATTCATAACCTTTGTTTCGGGCGATGTTGGTTTTGTAAAATATGACATTCTGGCTGCTCTGTACTCTAAAAATCTAAAGGTCAAACTGAATCTCTGA